TTAAGAAAAGAGTTAGGATGCGGAGGGTCCGCTTAGGGAGGCAACTAGCCTTTAAAGCAACTGACAACTAGCCCTAGCCTTTTCATATATTGTCTGTTTATTTTGATGGTTGCTTTAAAATATCAATTTGGTATATATGTGAAAGGATGAATCAGTGGGAGATGGATTTTCAGTTTCTTTACATTTTGCAGCACAAATCTAGTACTATGTGTCATTTCCTCAAAACTCCCCAATAACCGACCTCTCCAATCCCTTCCCATGGCGTTCAAGTGGTCCGCATAGACTATTCAGTCATTACTCTTCCTTGATCCTCGGCTTTGGATTGACTTGCGCTCCCATTGCCCCACCAAACGCTGCAAAATGAAAATGAAAATGAAAACAGAGTGATGCTTTAATTTATTTTAATCTTTTCAATTTTAGATGTACAGTGCATGGTCCTTAAAAGAAAATATCGAAGATGCTGGACTTTGGAAACAAATATATGTAAAATACGAAACTGAATTATTTTTTCCGGGGTTTTAATTTTTCGTTGTTCAAAATTCTCATGATATGAATTCTAGAATTAACTTGGAATTCTGCTCTGAATTATCTTGAAATTGTTCTGAAATAAACCAGAAACACTCCTTTTTAAATCATTCTTCTCCACAGAAATCCATCCAAATTAATCTAACAATTTATAATGTTTTCATGTCAGAATAATTCTGGAATTTTGCTCAGAACTTCTCCGTCGAAAACTGTGTGGGAATCCTTCTCAATATTTGTTTGAAATCAACACTTTGAATTCTTTTAAATTTTACTAAAAATTTCAGGGTTTGTCCCCTAGATTCTATAGATTGTTCTGTAATCTTTTATAACCCTTAAAATATTTCCAAGTCTCCGAGCGTGACAATTATGACTCCAGGACTTAGTATGATATTATTATTTTTTAAATCCGTTACCTAGAAACATTTTCGAAATCTCACATTTTAATTATGTTTTATACAAATCTTGCATTACGACGATTGTTATTAATCACAAATTTTGAAAAAAAAAAAGTTCTAGTTTCAGACTCTACACAAATTTGAAAGCCCCAGAATCTTGGGAACCTTCTTAAATCACATTTTTATCCTTTCAATAAATTCCTTTCAACAAGTTCTTAAAAATGCGTTCAGTTTCGTTTTTTTTTTTTGTTGAATATTAACAACCGGGAATTTTTGAAGATTTGAACCGGGAAAACCGGGAAAAAAATCGGGAATTTAAAAATGAAAATTCACTGGCCACCCTGATAGCTCTATTTGCTGCATAATTTTCTTCAGTTGCCCGTCTTATTGTTATTAGAATTTAATCACTCAGCAATATTTCAAATTGATTTTTGTCGGTTCAATTTCAGCTTTACATGCATGGGCATTAAAAAAATATTTTGAAGATGCTCGACCTTGGACTGAACTGAATCTGAACTATTCTTTTCCAAGGGTTTAATTTTTCGTTTTCATTTCATAATCAAAATAACCATGCAATTTTATTCAAAATCGGAAATCTCTCCAAATTCATCTAACAATTTCTAAGGACTTCATGTCAGAATAATTCTGAAATTCTGCTCAGAAATTCTCCTTCGAAAATTATATGGGATTCCTCCTCAACATTTGTTTGAAATCAACACTTTCACTGCTTTTAAATTTTACTAAAAAATCCAGGGTTTGTCCGTAAGATTCTATAGGTTTGTTCTTTTATTTGTTATTTATAACCCTTCAAGAGCCTTGACAATTATGACTCAAGTATGATTTTTTTTTCAAATCTGTTATCTTGAAAAATTTTCAAAATCGTTAATTATTTTTTTTTCCAAATGTTGCATCACGAAAATTTTGAAGAAAAGTTCTAGTTCCAGACTCTAAACAAATATCAAAGCCCCAGAATCTTAGGAATCTTCGTAAATCACTTTTTTTTTTATTCTTCGGTAATATTCTTCAAGTATTGGTCTATTGGATGTGGGTATTAGATTTCATGAACCATGTTTAGTTTCACGTTGAGTGAGTTTCAACGTCAGTAGTTTTTTTATATTTTTTTTTTCGTGTTTAACTTTGTACATCTGTACTGACGCTTTCTACTCTCTATAAACAATTTTCACTCTGCCGTAATCTAACGGAACTATCAACTCTATGCTTTCATCTCCTCATCTATCGTATAAAAATTACCACTTTAGTGTGTTACTTGAAATAAGCATCTTCAACTATGTAAATCGTTAACTTCACGCAGAAGTAATACAAAACAAATAGTTAAAGTAAATTCTAGGGCTTTGAAATCATAAGATGTAGAGTAATTCGGGGCAAAAGTACGCACGGGGCAAAAGTACGCATAGGCCTTTTTGAAATGTTCGAACATGAAAACCTGGCCACACTGTATGGGTTCGACACATCATTCGACCAGCTGATCACAGGTGTAAACATAAGTGATTTGAACGTAGTGGCGTGAAGTTATGAGGTAATTTATCTAATTTGTGTTTTGTGCAGTTTTGATCTAATTTTCAACATTTTGGGAATTATGTTTTGACCATTTAAAGTTTAGAAAAAAATGGGTATAAAAATGCTTAAAATATCTTTACTCTATGATTGTTTGAGAGGTGCAGTCATTCCGTTCAAACAGTTTCATAAGTTTTGTAATAAATCGAATCATTGATAAAACTGCATGTGGGGCAAAAGTACGCACAGGATGTCGCATTGAAATGGTTATGTTTTCGTACAGGAACTACAAGCGCAAAACCAGTTGGCAGAAATGCACTTCTCAGATGCTCTGGACCCCCCCCCCCCCTAAGTGCATCACGTACTTTATGTATGACGCCTTAAAGATCGACCTCCCGGGTCCCCCCGACCTCCCGAATTTCAAAGATTATTTTATCCGTTTTGCATGGAACCTTAATATGTTTTATATAAACCTTTATGGAAACCAACAAACTACAACTCTCATCACCCTCCCTCCCTCACGCTTCTGCCCCTAAAAAGAAAACGTAGTTTTTGGATGCTCCCTAATCCTGGTTGACCAGAGAGGAGGTACAGTACTCAAGAAACTATTTGTTACAACCATTATTTGCGACAAATACATTATTTGTTCAATGCGTACTTTTGCCTACGGGGCAAAAGTACGCATTTGACTATTTTTAAAAACTGTTTCAGTTCTCATATTACACAAATATTTTGGTAATTTCCAGTACTACGTTTGAAAGGTAATACAATACTTGCTCGCATGGTATTTGCCTTGCGTTCAATAGTTAACTTACTAAAAAAGTTAAGTGCGTACTTTTGCCCCGCATTACTCTATCAAGCTTAAAAAAAGTGTGAGTTTTCAAAGTATATCGAAAGATCAATGATTTGTTTGGAATACATTAAGTGACTCATAGAGTTCAATTTTAACTTTCAGCTTTAAAAATACTTTCTGTAATTTTGCTTCATTTTTTCCACAAATAACTACCGAAAATTTACAGTTGGCCGCCTTTTCAAAAATGAGTTCAATTTGGTTTTTTGTTGAATATTAACAACCGGGATTTTTTAAAGATTTGAATCGGGAAAACCGGGTAAAAACCGGGAATTTTAAAATGAAAAATCACTGGTCACCCTGATCTTCTTAAATAAATATAGTAATAAATTGCCTCTAATTCTCATTTGTATCAAGTTAATTCTATCTCAAACAATTCTGTCTTTGAAATCATAAAATGTATCGAGTTTAAAAACGTGATTTTTCATAGTATTTCGAAAGATCAATAATAATAATCTGTTTTGAAGTAACTCAGTGTGTTAAATGATACTTTCAGCTTAAAAAAAGCTTTCTGTAGTTTTGCTTTTATTTTTCCCACAAATAACATCCGCAAATTTAAAATTCGGTTCCATACTAATTCGTTAAACCATTTATTCTTGTATTTTTTTTTATTTGGATGAAAATTTGCAGAAACGTTCTTTTTGTCCAAAAGTCCCATTTTCCATCTTCAAACCGTAATTTTGAATCAAGCCTTATTTTTGAAAATGGCCAATAGAAATATTAAGCTAATCTTCAGAAAACTGTTGCTCGAAATGGTTTTTTCCGATCGGTTTGGTTGTTGTAGGTCATGGCTGGGACTATTCGATAAAAATATGTACAAACACTCTAAAAAAATTGCACCACATAAAAATGAAAGCTTAAAAATTATGTTTCTCAAAAACGGATATTTGTAATTTTTTTAGATTTTTGATAAGGTATCAAACCCCGAGATGGCATCTCTTTCCAGGGCTGAAAGCTTCAACCCACCAGGCACTCGTTTCCTCCTCCAATCGAATCTCCTCCGCTTATCGAATCTATTTTGACGGAGCAGTTGGGCGCGAGATGTACACCAACGAACGTATACCTATGTACCTATCTAAGCTACATAGAACAACCAGACCTGCAACGGACCTTCCACCATCCCACAGCTAGCGACGCCTTGCTGTGAAGCTGACGGACGGACGACTACAATGATGATGATGGTGATGATGCGGGAACCGCTACACAGTGCTAGAAGCACGAGACTTGTACCTACTACTGCTTCTCTTCACCCGCTGGTTATGCTCGATCGGGTGGGTGGCAATCCCGGATGGGTGGTTGGGAAACAGTGGCCGGGGTGTGTGTGTATGTGCGTATGTATGGTCCCTAACCCGCAAATGGTTTCCCGTCACCAGCATTACTGTCGTCGTCGGAGCAGCAGTACATGCATACATGTGTGTGTGTGTCTGTGTATGCTGGATGTTTTTGTTGTGCATTGATGCCGTAATAAGCCATCGTCACAAGTTCTGCTCTGTGGGGTCTGCCTCGGGTGCGGAGAAATGGAGGTAGAGGAACATTGGGAAAAAGAATGTTGACTGATTTCGTTTGGGGTGGTGGTGTCGGTGGTGTTGGTGTATGCTCGAAGACGGAGTTGTGTTGGTACAAGCTCGGAAGCTTTATGCTGCCTGCCATACACAAACTCAAGTCTCTTTTTGGTCGGTCGGTCGCTATCAATAGTCGCACTCGCTGTTCAGTTCAGTTTTCGACGGTCGGCCAACGCGTTCGGACGGACAGGACGGCGCGTACTTGTGGTGTGTGTGTGTAGTTCTCGCCTAGCCCTGGGTCAGAGAGAAGGTTTTTCTAAGGAGTTCTCAATCTAGGAATTGAAACTGATATCGGATTGGTACACGCTAGTGTTCTGCTGAAGGGTTTATGTGGAGCGATAAACGTGAAAAGAGAAAATAGAAACGGTGAATAAATACCAGCTTTTACTGATGGTTGTTTATTTCAGTCCAAAGCGGAGTTCACAGAAGAATCTGATAGCTTTTTTTCTACTCTGTTTTACGCGAGTGGGAAGAAGAGGTTGTGCACCGTGTCAGGGGGCGAGAAAAGGTGTATTGGGGGAAGTGAAGCATTAGAGGTGGAAATCGTGAGATGTCGACAAGCATAGAGCATAGTGATGAATGTGATATGTGTTCGGAAGAGAGGAAATGGCAAGGCGGTGAAACCGATGTGTTCGTTAGTTTTATTACATGTTTAGAGTGTTAAGTTATGCTGCTATCTCGGGTATTCTGAACTGCCAGATCTTGATTATATGTACGATCGAAGAAAATCCCAACGTTCAACGGTATCGAATCGAATTGTAGTAACTTTAAAGGTGAATTCCATTGCCAACCAGGAAAAACCTTTAAGAAGTGTAGAAAATAATCCGTGTAGTAAAGTAGTGAAGAAATTCTCCGTATATTATTAATTCCGAGTGTTGTTCAAGCACACCACTGCCATCGCGAGTACGAGTGTGTGCGTTATTTTGTGGTGTTTTTCATCAATGTGAATACTTGTGCTCGTTCTATACACACTGCCAACCAGCCAGCCAGCCATCATTCACCACTAGAAGCAGACTCTCTTTCTCTACACACAACATCGAAACCCGAACCGTCACCATCGTAGTGAAGTGTGGAATAAAAGAAGTACATGTGCTCGAAGGAGAAAGAGAGCAAGAGAATCGACCTCGCGGGATACGGCAGGGTTGTATCGAGAAGAATCGCTGAGCTGTGTGATATCTGCGAAAATTACACAATTTTATCAATGAAAAGTGATTCGTTCTCTGAATAGTAAAGAAAACACGAAAATCTACCACCAGTGATTAGCGGTTCCCATTCAGTGTAAGCAAAGAAACAAACGGGGAGTAATTGAAAGCTGCCATTTAGACATCGTTAAAAACGATTAAAGTTGATTGACAAGTGTTATCGATTCTGAAACAACGTTCTCGGCCGCGGCAAAAACAATTAGACAAGGTAGGGCTCAACCACTAGTTGAATGCATAAGTGAAATAGTAATTTGTATGGCCTGCCAAGTGTGTGTTAAGTTGTTATTTTTGCAGTGCTCAGTTGGCTTATATTTTACAAACATATGTCTATTCAACTGCGTCTTCATCTTCTTTGGTTATTACGTCCCAATTGGAATTTTACGGCTGCCCTCAGCAGCACACTTGAAAATTGAGAGCTTTCTAAGACGGTACCATTTTTGCATTTGTATATTGTGTTGCTAGCATTATACCCAGGGAAGTCGAGAAATTATTCAACCCTGTTAGACCGGAAATTGATCCCACCAGCTCCAGCATGATCTTGCTTTATAGCTGCGCCTTTACCGAGTTAGCTGAGGGAGCCCCAAAGTCATAAATTATACATAACTCAAATCTAAATTCTGTACAAAAATACCTGTTACCAGAATGGGCATTAACTTGAAAAATGTATTTGAGTTAATTTGTGGTGATAATGCAATGAGGTACAGAGAAAGGTGAAGCGGATCGTGAAATATTGTTGTATTATTAATCCACTGTCACTGATTGCTTGTATCCTACGGTGGTTTCACTCACACAACTTAACCGATTGCATCTCATTGGTGATGATGGTCTTAGAAAGCCTAGTCAGTTAAGGCTCGGTATTATCAAGCCGGAGGGGTTTGATTCCCGGTCCGGTCTTGACAATCGGGTTGAAAATTGTCTCGACTTCCCTAGGCATAGAGTTTCATTTGTGTGACAAGCAACAACATATAAATGGATGCATTGGTTGGTAGAGAGAGAACAGTACTAAGTTGGAAGCAGGCTCAAGCTCGTGTAAGAGCGTCGACTCCAGAATGAAGAAAATGCATTGTAGAATTTGAGGTCTCGAAACTAGGTAACAGGACAAATATCTCGCTGAAGATGATGTTAATCGATCAATGTAGATAGGATCTATTGAAAAGTGACGCAAGAAATGTCCAAACAACATATGTAATCTTTAATATTAATATAACTCATATGTAATATCATTACACACTTAGAAATTATTATTTTTACATGAGACGTAATTCAGCTTTGATGTAAATCATGGAACGTAAACAAACATGGCATGTAAAATTAAGTGTCCTGAAATTGAAACATATGCAACTCGACAAAAAGTGCGTATGATTGAATTGATTTTCTCGTCCTGAACTGATTCTTATGTTAAAAGAGCCGCTTGCATGTGTCGATCTCAGGGCACTGAAATTTACATGTCTTTTTCGTAGTGTGTAGTTATGAGTTAATTAAGGTCTGCGGCTTTTGAGTAGTCTCCGCTGAGGTTGCGGGACTAAAAGTGGAAAGACAGAAACTCGGAAGGACGAAAAGTCGAAAAGAAAAAGATTGAATGACTAAACTTGAAGGTAAAAATCTCTAAAATAAGCTCCAAAAGCTGAGTTAAATGTTTTGAAACCGATTTTTAAATACTTTAAATCACTTACAATGAGTAAAACATGAATTCCAACTATTTTCCGTTCAATCTTTTAAATATGTCGAACCGGAATCCCTTTATGAAGAGCTTTGAGTGTGTTGGTTTATTTCCTTTAAATTTCGTTATAATTGCTTATCTTTTGACAAATACGCGTATTTCGTCTACTACTTGCAGACTTCATCAGTGCCAAGTACTCAAAACCACCCTGTTGTGGTGTTGAGTACTTGGCACTGATGACGTCTGCAAGTAGTAGACGAAATACGCGTATCTGTCAAAAGATAAGCAATTATAACGGAATTTAAAGGAAATAAACCAACACACTCAAAGCTCTTCAAATTTTACGTTCTTTGAAAGCTGCTTATTCTTTAATACATGGTTTTCAAACGGATAGCGCCGGTGGTTGAGTGGTAAACGTGACTGCTTACTCACCCCAGTGTGTCTTAGTTCAATCTCAGCCTAGCTCGGTGGGATTTTTCTGAGGCGAAACAATCTTTGGTCACGTCTTCCTTTGGAAGGGAAGTAAAGCCGTTGGTCCCGGCCCATATGTTGATGGGTTCGATGGGTTCCAGGTGTGGATTCACCTTCCTGGCACTTGATTGCCGTCAGTTATTTATCACATATTGGCAATCGTCGCTCGTCGGTGGTACTCGATTGCGGAACAGAGAGCGACGTCAAATAAAATAAAAAACTAATCGATAGAAAGGTTTTCAGACGACTTAGTGTCCATGAGGTATATTGGTTTTAGTATAATGAAACACTTTCACTAATACAAACTATCAATTCAATGCACCCTTCTGTAAAAGACACTCATGCTTTAACATAAAAATAGAAAATAGAATAGAAGTTTATGAAACTCGACCTTTTGCCCCTTTAGATTATTTTTCATTTGTCATTCAGACCATTTCTCGGTGAACATTTAAAAAGGTCCTATCTGCTTTGATCGATTCTCTTCATTGACTTTCTCTTCGGATAACCACTGCTATGCAAATAGATTTTGTGCTATTTTTACAACATAGTTTGACAAAAGAGGTTCTCATCTAACGTCCTCAGCGTTAAATACAACAGGGAAAGTTTTTGCAACTGAGTTATTAACGAAAGAGAATGTCGACGAAGAGAATCGGTCTATGCAGATAGGACCTTTTGAAATGTTAATATAGATTTGTCTCTCGACCTGTTGTCATGGATTCAGTATCCATAGATCTTACATGGGAAATTTAGAAGTTACGTAGAGGCATGTCATGTACAGGGTGATCAGTAAACCGGGAAAACGAGAAAACCGGAGAAAAATCTGGGAACTAGAAGTCATTGGGAAAATCCGATAAAACCCCGTGAATTTCGATGAAAAATCGGGAAAAAATATACTTCGTCTTCTTTTCGAAAAAAATAAAAGATTTTGTACCTTAAAAATGTTTCAAGAACCTTGGGCTAGACTAGACTCTCAGGACACAGTCACTTTGAAGAAATATGAAGGGGATTTTAGAAGGTTTTTCCAATAAACTTTTGAGCAAAAAAAAAATGTCCAACACAACATAAACTTTGTAAAGCTACATGTAGTACTTTAATGTATTTTCTGAAGTGGTCTCTCACCCCAAAAGGCCTGGTTTCAATCCCAGTCGGTGCCGCCGGGATTTTCTGAGACATAAAATCTCTGATCACGACTAGAACTGCAAGTCAATTGTGAGTATTCCAGGATCCGTGAAAAATACCTAGGCAATATAATTTTGAGGGTTGAATTGCAAAGAAATTCTACGAAGAGTCTTAAAGGAATTCTGAGAATATGTCTAAGTCTTGAAATGAATTTGTATGGAATTTATTGAGAATTCCAAGTGAATTTTCAAATTAAATTAAAGAAGAACTTCAAGATAATTTTGATCGAAATTTTAATTGCATCGGTGAGATTTCACACAAATTTAAAGAAAAATTGGAAGGAAGTTACAACGAATTCTTAGAAAAAGTTTAAATGAATTCTGTGTGAATTGTTAGACTGCTATAAAGAAATGTTTAAGGGAGTCCCTAAAAAACTCAAATTTATTTTAGAAGAATTCTGAAAAGAACTCTGTGATGGCAAATTATTCTAAAGGAAATGCTTGAGAACAATCCATAAAAAATCTTGTATAATTTTGAGTAAATTTTGCTGCTGTCTTAGTAATGACCCATTTAACCTAGTGATCACCTGGACTCAATCGCATTCAGGTTTATGCTTAATTTAAATGTATATGGCCGGAAAAATTTCATTTTTTTTAAACGGGAAATCTCTAATAGGAATTTGCTGGTCACCATTTATTTAAAAATCCACTAGATGTAAGGAACAAGTCAGAAATGAGTACATACAATAAATACAGAAGAATACCTTCAGAAAAGTTTATGAACTCAATAAATCAAAACCCAGGACCCTCCTGTAGTCATAAGAGCCATATTTTTTGTGGGCTTTATGCTCATGCAATTATCAGCGTATTGAAAGAACAATTGCAGCTCAATCTATTGTCAGATCGCAGGCATAATTATTCGTGTGCTATTCATTAGAGTGATGCAAAATTTGAAATTTTCGCTCCACAGTGCCTAAACGGCTTCAAATCCCTCCCTTATCAGCTTCCCAAAATTTGAATTCATTTGAAAAAAAAAACTGACTTGAAGTTTATATGGAAATAACTGTGGGAAGACCAAACATTATGTTAATTATCTTCTAGCCTTTTTTCCATATTGCTGTGCCCACTTCTGCAGGCAGTCTACTACATCTCGGCCATATTTATGAGGCGAAACTTCCATCAATGATCAAATTTAACTAAAATCGAAAATAAAATCTTCCTAAAAGAGGTCCCAAATGGACCGAAACGTCGGACAAAATTAAAATAACAGAATTTTGATTTTTGTCGAGACTGAAAAGCCACCCTAAATGAATATCATTTCCCACTTGATCAACAGCAAGAACTTCCTTTAGACATTCAAGGGAAACTCCTGCAGCATCAGTTTCTTGATTGAATAAATGATTCGGTCTCTCGAGTCCAACTCGAATGCACCAACATTGGAAAGTAGTGTTCTGGCTCTAATTACTGTTTTGAATTATTTAGTTACCATTTCATCTTCATCCTCATTGGCAACATCAACGGCTTCTAAATATAATTTTCACGCTGCAACAACTTTATTCTGACTCCACCTTGACTGACAACCACAAAACTTCAACTTCATAAGATTGATTAAGATTTTGAAGATTTCTTGCAAAAGGATGCAGTAGTAGATGAGATTTAGATGGATTTAGATGCAAGAAATAGCAGAAGGCTTTTATTAGATTGATTTGCAGGCGCGAGAATTTTAAGGCATCTAGATTGCTGATGAAGCAACATAATATATTCGCAATTGCTTTTGGGCTGAATCCTATATGTATACCGTAAACAATTCAGTCAACATTTCCAACTAAAATCATAGTCACATATTATATTTTCTTCAGCTCAATTCCCCCTGCTGGGATGGCTGAATTCCCTCGTGGGGGAGAATTCCCCCCAGATTGAAAACCACTGATCTAAGCAATGTTCTTCTTCATCTTCTTC